ATTATGACTACCCACTAACATCTACACTATACAGTACGCCAATATTATAGGCTAATTAGCGCTGTGCTATCATACAAACGAGTCTCTGCAAAACATGTATTCAGACAAAACCCAACACGAACATATTGCAAAACCCGGAACTTTCGGTTGAAACTTGCTAGTTTCGTTCAGCCATCAAACGACATGTGTACGCCGCTATTGTTTCTGATAACGCTGAAGACTGGCCCCTATATAGTAACTCATTTTCATAAGAACGTGATAGGGACCACATTAAGTCCAGGTATCAGACTCTATAAGTCACTTCGTGGAAAACTGACAGCGTTGTTTACGCGTTTCACGAAGTGACCTATCTCTATGCGTCAGTTTGTGAAATGATAATTTTGCATTTTGTAGCGATAGGTCAACATTTTTAATTAGCTCAATCAGCTTAATTAGCTAATTAGGCCACATATGAATTTGACATTTTCAGAAAATAAAGATTTCATTATGCATAACCAGAATATGCTAAAACCCAAAATTCGTCAACAATTCAGATAGGTCAGATCGTGGTACGATCGACGTTTTCATTAATGGGCAAACATATTTCACATTTTGTCAAGCATGTTTTAAAACTTCCTGCATGTAAAATTCTGAATTATCTCGGCGTAAATCATATCTGATGTCTTCAATCCGTAAATGGACGCCTCTCTTTCTTAATTAAAGGGTCAGTGCAATGATTTTTTTTCTCATGAATACATACTTTCTACTACTCTAAAACGTATGAAAGATATTTTGACATCCTTTTTTCTTTTGGTTAGTCTTATTGTAACGTGCACGTCACATTTAAAAGTTCCATGCTTTTCCGGACTAATGAGCGCGCTGCTGCTGTGATGTGATTTCAGGAAGACACTGTTCAGTTTAGGGGGTTTCTTTCAAATTATTCACCCAAAATTTGCTAAGAAAACACTTTTGAAAAAGGATTGCTCATTGGCTTACTGCCAAGTACTGACACAACAAAGAATCACCAAAGAAAAGAAATGTATGACAGCAAAATATCCAAAATTCTAGCAACTTTTTGTGCTGAAATAGCCCAGTAACAATTTAATCTGCACGGAATGACATCAAAATCTTGTTCATGCGTGAATACGGAACCAAAAACACCCTTCAAAATGGAAAACAAACCTTGAAAATAAGGTTAAAATGTGACACAAAGATGTGTTTTCCAGGTTTGCATTGAACAATTACTTTGCATGGGCCCTTTAAATAAGTGTTCGGTCAGACATTCGCAAGAAAACATTGAAGAAAATTACCCAAGAGAAGGGTTCCCCATGGTACAACCATTGCCAAACATACACGACCCGATGTCTTGCACGTCAAGAAATCGTCAACGTAAAGAAGCCCCTTGCTCAAACGTTTAAACAAGTACAAAAGATCAACAGTGAAAAATAAATTATCTTAGCCCTTTAGCATTTCAGTACATCTTGTATCCCTCTTATCAGTTAATTTGTTACAAAATTTTACAGTCACCAAGATGTTTTGGGGAAACTCAATCAACCTCGTTGGAAAATAGGAAAACATTTCACTTAAAAAATCTTATTAATTTGAATGACCACATAATGGAAGTGATTGCCCATAATTATACGAATAAGAAACGAAAAACATGGTAATACGTTATAAGCGCACCGCCGTTCGCTAATTTGAATGGGTCAACCGTCAAAAGGTTGACATTCAGTCTAAAATCTTGGCTGCCTAAAAATGAAATTGAATGCCCCCAAAATGAAAAAGAAACCCCAGTTTGATCACATGTGCAAAACTCATGCGAAATTGAATGGCTGATAATCAAACTGATTAGAAAAATTCGGAAATTGGCCGGGAAAACCTACTTTATATATAATTTTTTCAATTTTTTTTCCATTTTGGTGGCCATATTGGCCGCCATCCATCATGCATTTGAAGCATGAAAGCAAAAACACGATACCGGAAATGAATTCGGGAGGGTACAAAACATATATTTCACTTGTGATTTTATCATATTATTAGGCTGATATGTGACTTTTTTCATTTTTACGAATATGGCGGCCTTATTAGCTACCAAATTGGCCGCCATCTTTAATTTAAAGCATGATAGGAAAACAAGAAACCAGAAATGAGTTTTTGAGGGTCTAAAACATATAACTAACCATTTTTAAAATGCTTTTATCTCATTATTGGGCTGATATGTTTTTTTCCAGTTTTTACCAATTTTGGCGGCCATATTGGCCGCCATCTTGGATATCTCCTACGCACCGGATTTGTTTCACTGAGCGGTAAAGTTTTGGCGGCCATATCAGGCCGCCATCAAGCACTTGAAGCATGATATCAAAAACACGATACCAGAAATGAATTTGGGAGGGTACAAAACATAATGACTAACAATTTCACTTGTGATTTTATCATATTATTAGGCAGATATGTGACTTTTTTCCCCATTTTTACCAATATGGCGGCCTTATTAGCTACCAAATTGGCTGCCATCTTTAATTTGAAGCATGATAGGAAAAAATATACCAGAAATGAGTTTTTGAGGGTCTAAAACATATAACCTACCATTTTATTTATGCTTTTATCACATTATTTGGCTCATATATGTCTTTTTTTCCAGTTTTTACCAACTTTAGCGACCATATTGGCCGCCATCTTGAATATCTCCTTCGCACGAATTTGTTTTACTGTTAACATCCAATATGTGTTTTAGGACCCTAAAAGGCACCCAAAAACATTGGTGAAAGTTAGTTCTGGGGGGTGCACGGGGCCGGAGGTCCCCCATACATCGAACTCGTGGATCCGAGAACGCGTTAGTAATTCGTGGGAACGAGTTGGTAATTCGTGGGAACGAATTAGTAATTCGTGGGAACGAAATAGCAATTCGTGGGAACAAATTAGCAATTCGTGCTAACGAAATAGCAATTCGTGCGAACGAATTAGTAATTCGTGCGAATGAATTAGTAATTCGTGCGAACGAAATAGCAATTCGTGCGAATGAGTTAGCAATTCGTGGGAACGAATTAGCAATTCGTGCTAATGAAATAGCAATTCGTGCGAACGAATTAGTAATTCGTGCGAACGAAATAGCAATTCGTGCGAATGAGTTAGCAATTCGTGGGAACGAATTAGCAATTCGTGGGAACGAAATAGCAATTCGTGGTAACGAAATAGCAAGTCGTGGGAACGAAATAGCAATTCGTGGGAACGAATTAGAAAATTCCAAAACAAAATTCCACCATGTCCTTTCCCGGGCTTCATACTGTGTAAAATCCTGCATGTGGTGAAAAGGGCTGCGATTGAGATTGGAATCATTTGCCTGGCTATCGGCCATCATGGCAAGACTTCCGTTTAATGCTCAAGGGCAAATTAATGATTCCAATCCCAAACCACATCGGCCTTTTTTCACAACATGCAGAATTTTACACAGCTTACATAACACAGCACTGAAAATCATTAAGGCAAGGAATTTGGTCAAAGTGTCCAAAAATGTTGTTGTCATCAATTGACCATTGTGCATGTGCATAATTATGTGACTGAAATTAAATGAAACGCTTTAGGGGTTTAAGCCTTTTAACAACGGCTGATGCGGTCTTTTAACCAACAATTTAAATGTGCACGTGACTGGCCCTCACAAAAGGCATGACTAAATTGTCACGAATGACAGGTAAACGTCTGTACCTAAACACTCACCCGTGTTTTTCCAAAACGAACGGGACCAAAGTAACAAAAGACGAAGCCAAACAATCCCTAAAATACCGGAAACAAGCAAACAAAACGGTCTCCCTACAACTAAACAAACATAAACGGGATATGTTCATCGGTGTAGCAGTGTCGAAAGATCTCGACGAGTTAAAATCAAAACTAGACAATTCAAAGCCGGTTGGAGCAACTGGGCTGACGTTTGAGAACAGGATTTAAATTCATATCCTGCAACTGGTCAAACGATTTGAGAAAAGAGGTTTCGAATCCGTAATAAAAGCCAACCTACAATTAACAGGAGTATAATCTTTAAATACCACCGGTGATTTTTCAGATTCCCAGACCCGGTACCCAAACTCGAAACCTCGCGCGCCGGCCAAAAACCATTTTGCGCCAAAGCAAAAGCGGAATTCAACTTCTGCGCCAAAATTAATCCTTCACCTATCTTAAAGACCCTTGGTTCCTGTTTTGCCATACGGGTGATCTCATCCGTGTAGCCGGAGGTTTTAAATTCATGCCCCACCGGTAACATTCGGAATTCCCTCGTGACCGGCACATGACAGACCCCTCCGTGGGGGCTTGAACTGCGGATGCCCCGGTCGGTGGTGATGGATGCCTGGTGGATTGTACCTGCGCCCGGTGAAGCTCATATCATTCAAGTACAGAATAAGCCTTGTTCAAAATGGATTTGAAATTCAATATCTTTCGAGTATCAAGTTTTTGGTCTTTCAGACATGTAGCGGGATGCAGTGCAAGTGACCCAGATTTTACGGAATACTTCAGTCTCCGACAGAAAAGTTTTGCCTGTAAATTGAATGCCTTTTTTTCTCTCTCAAGATAATCAATAAAAGAGGGGAGTCCATTGCTGTTCTGGATAACTGTTTGGTAATACATGTGACGTATCTGGCGGGGGCCAGGGGGAGAGGCCATCTACAAGGCCATCTGCCAGCACCCCACCCCTTCCTACCCTTGCAGTTAAAATGTAAAACAAAAATGTGTTCCTGAAAAACAAGTTTCAGTTACAAGCAGCTGAAAAACATAAACCGCCTGGATGATGCTTTTCCTTTTTTAGCACATGGATATCTGAATCTGACTAAAATTCAACCGAGGCATGTTACTGTATAGTAACGGCGTCTCTCTCGTAATAAAATGTTTAGAAAATGTTGCAAAAAAACCGTTTATGTGTTCAAAAAGTTAAACAATATATTTTGAAGAACTGAGAGAAAATTGTTGGTGGGGCAAGCACATGTTCTCTCCGTAAAACCATCTGTTTATCCTCTGTTGGTTCTTTATGACAGGTTGTGTGGGCTGATTCCCGTCAGATCGGGTGTGGTGCTAAGTTCTGCTCCAGCATTGGTTCGGAGAGAAACGCCTGGTTCGTCGTCTGCAATTACGGACCGGCGTAAGTATAACTTATACGGTCGGTGTTAACTGGTCCGTTGAGTGGAGGTTCACACTGGCAACCAAGAGATATCGCTTCTGGTTCTGAGAACTCAAAGGTTCTGAACCATACTTCAGCGGCGTAGCCAGGGTTCTCATGATAGGGGGCGTGTGGGGGCGGGGGACTTGAGGTTGCATTGGAGGGGTTCCCCAAAAATTTCATCCGTGCTGAAAGGAAGACAGTTTTTTTTCACTGGACACCCGCCCTCCGTAAAATCAAATAGTTGGGGGGGGGGGGGGGGGGGGGGGGGGGGGGGGGGGGGGCTTGACACCATCTTCCAATGGGGCGCTGTTCAAAACGTACATCATGGCTACATTAGACAATAACTCTCGCTATTCGCTTTCCAATGGACGTTACTATAAACAGCCACTCGCGAAAGAAAAAGAGTTTTGGTACAAAATACGCACAAAAAAGGGACTTTTTGTTCTTTGAGCTAATCATGGTCAATCATATGGCTGTGTTTTTCTCCGGATGCCAGATTTTCAGTGGGGGGCGAACTTTTTATGGAGGGCGTGCGCCCCCCCCCCCCACGCACCCCTTCCGTATAGCTACGCCGCTGCCATACTTACATAAGTATGGTTTTATGGTTTTATGTTTTTTTAGTGCTGATTTTAACTTTCACAACTTTTTTTACCATCTTTTGGATCTTGTTGAGTAAGCGCAAATTTTGGATTCTAGGCATACACACAGTTCAAACTCGCTCTCTCTTATAGAAACACACCCATGCATGAACGTTTCGACAAGGCATGCCGAGTCATAATTTTATAAACAAACCTCGCGGAGAGTCTTACAACAACAATACCCTTTTTTGAAAGTCAGTTCGGCACGCAAAGGTTTGCTTCATCAACACCAAAGGTTTGTGGAGTCGGCCATGACTGAGAGCAAACCAGCAAGATGTCTTTCAGGTACACTATTGTTTTAAAGCTATATATTTGACAAGCTTTACACACAGACTGAGACAAGAAGATGTTATAAGTTGGCTGTGCTATTGCCAAGTGTGGCCTTTATTATTACATTCTAATTTATACACAAATGTTCGGTCACTTGAGGTTTTCCGTGCGGTCAAATTCAATTTGAGTACCGTTCTCCGTAGAAACTTCTTTTTTTTTTTTTTTTACTCTGTTTCGAGGGGTGATGTTGATGGAACATTCAAATATTTCGCAATGCGTTAAACCCCCCCCCCCTCAACCCCCCCCCCGATATTTATTGAGTGATTTGTCCGTTTGTCTTTCCCTCCAGCGGAAATTTCGAAGGACAGAAGCCGTACGAGACGGGCGCATCCTGCAGTCAGTGTGGGCAGGACGCGCCGTACTGCTTCCGTGGTTTGTGCCGTAAGTATCATTTTTATCGTGCAGAAAGAGAGTTATCCTTATCAGTGGCGTGACTGGGACCCAGTTTTCGGGAGGGGCACTTAGGCGGTTCACTTTTTGGAGAATTCAGGCGGTTCACTTTTGGAGAATTCTCTCACCCCAAATTGAGTTCGGAGGGACATGCATTGGCTTCGGGCAGGGGCCCTCCCTTCGCCCGCCCTTGAAATCTTTACTTCTCAGGGACATCACCTTCAAATCCAAACTGAACACTATAAGGCCAAATCCTAACTGGGCCTAAAGGTTTCTTATTCGCTTAAGCTTGAACAAGTGCAAGTGCACAATTAGCTCCTGGCCGTGTTGCAAGAAGTCTTGCATGAAATCGATCAATTGATTGATCCCTGCCAGAGCTGAAAAATGCGACAAAAAATGCGACGCCGATGGCACATATGGAACACCATACTTTTAGTCAATTTTCGGGGACAGGCAGCAAGACAGACCAATCGACCACCAAGTGACATGTAAAAGCTCCTGCCTGGGCTTAAAAAGTGGAGTAGGCAGGTAGGGGCGTCAATCGCTTCTCAAAAGTGGGGTGGGGGGGGGGGGGGGGGGGAGACATACCTCAATCAGAACTAATGCGAACGCGAAGTGCGAAGCCCTTACGGCGTGGGGAAGGGCCCCCAAAAATTCTTGCGATTTCTGACCACTTCAACCATATTATTTTAGCGAAAGATACATTGTAGTACAAAATAGGGCCCTGTCAATCATGAGACACACGAGTTCAACAATCGGGGGGGGGGGGGGGAGGGATTTGTTATTGTGTCCCACATCCTTCAAAAAGTGTCGGGGGGGGGGGGGGCATATCCCCCTGTCACTCCCCCCCCCCCAGAATTGACCCCCATGCAGACAGGGGATCAACTGCGCATGTTCTTAAAACAAAGGCACAAGTTCTTCCGTGCTCAAAGTACAAAAGCCGGTAAGAGCCCCATGAATCACAGCGGATATAATGTAGGACTTCTGCACTGAGCGATATGAAAAAAGACGCGAATTCCCGACGTACGGATAATTGAGAAGTGAGGAAATAATGTTTTAAATTGAATTTCAAGTCTGCCCTTGAAGTCGAAAATGTAGGGAAAAAATACGATACAGAAAGTAGCATCTTTGCTTTTTTTCCCCAGCATTTTCTCAGCATAAATTTCTTTGGTAAGATTACTTCACAAATAATAAATTGCCGTGCGTTTCGGAGTAACAACTGATGCTGAGGTGGTCAGAAGGTCATTTTCGGTTTATTGTATAGCCGGTAGAGAAACAAGCAGATACGGTCGACCTATTGGCCTTTCGAGCCTGCTTGCGCAACATGCACCAACCATCCCCGCCTGAGAACTCAGCTGGGGTATAATTTTCAAGGGCGCCCCACCCGCAGATGGCTGTTAAAAGTGACCCTCACGTTGTACACATAAGATGGGACTGATTATTTTTTATAAGTTAAGACGGGGCGATGTTAAGTTTAAGTGGTCCGTAGAGAGTGGTGTAATTTTAGACTCGGTGGGAGCATTTTGCACAGCCTTGCTCTTCTGGGGGCAGGCACAACATTACAACATTTTCATCTCTTTGAAAGGTTATCCGAAATTGATGAAAGGCAGCTATGGCGTCGTCCTTCAGCTACGAATAAACCACCCAGGGGCCACTACAGGCTTCTAAATGATTACCAGAGAAGCTATAGACCTATATCATGCTTTTACCAATGCAGTCATGTTCCCTGTATGCAGTACTGAATGATAATGTTTTTGTGCAAAAAGGAACCAGACTATTCTTCCCTCCAGCCTCGCTTTGGTTACATTGATTTGAATGGGAAAAAAAATCAAATGGCTGCAACATGATAATGGTCTATTGGCCTAACATTGAGCATATTTCTCACAGTGTCAGTTCAGTAGCGGCACCAGACTCTATAATTGGGGTGGTGGGGGGATGGGGGATGGGGTGGGTGGGGGGGGGGGTGGGGGGTGGGGAAGGAAATATGTTATTTTGGGAGGAAGGGCAGCCAATGGACCAGCCAAGTTCGGCCGAGTTATAGGTGAAAAACCCGCAAACGCTCGAAATGTTTTAAAATTGAAAAAATAAAATAATTGGCACCAAAAAAAAAAAATAACACTGAATTGGCTTGCCGTATTTTTAGAACCAGTTTTTTTTTTTTGGGGGGGGGTGAAAGTTTAACATTTACTTCTAAATTTTGATGTAAAAGGGAATGTTTTAAAAGAAATTCTCAATTTTACCGTATTTCTGTTATTCTTTTTCCTTCCAGATCAATGCAATCCACAGTCAAACTCCGAATGCAGTAAGTACAATGTCATCATTCAAACACGATCCGTTTTACATATCGTATAACTGCACAATGCCATATTTCCTTCCGATCTCAATAAACAGTTCCAGCATAGACCCATACAGGGTGTAGACATGTATGCCTTTCAATGTATGATTAAGTTGCCATACGGTCGAGGCACATTTCTGACAAACTCAATAAAACGTAGCATGGTATTAATCTGTGTATGTCAAGGATTCTGTCTCGTTTTATGGAGAGAGTACCAGTACCCCGACCGAAACTAGGATCACGCTAAGCCGTGTAATTGAGAACGGAAAGCATACAAGCGGATGCACGCATAGTGCGGCCCAACCTATTAACCCCGTTATCATAAGTAGCGACCATGACAGTAGCGAAATGTCAGATACACTTTGAAATCTAATCGATTAAACCCTTAAAAGAAATTCATTCCTCCCCCCCCCAAAAAAAAAGATTGAAAATTCGTATATGAGTTATGTATTTCAATTTAAATACAAATACAAGGAGAATACGGAGCCCCTACAAGGACATCCGAACGTAACCAAAAATAAAAAGCTCGTGCACATGAGATAGTTATCTCATGCCAACGAGATATATTTGTTTTATTTTTGAGTGTCCCCTTAGGGGCTTCATACTTCATTTTCCTCATAACAAGTTATCAAATACCCCCCGTATCATAAAACAGTGGCAAAGATATAGAAAGAGTTTGATCTCAAAAGACTGGAAATTTACAAGATGCCACTCACAGTAACTTTTTATATAGAAACTAATCTTGGCCATAAAAAGTTGTTTTGGGATGTTCTCTAATCAAAACTGGCTACCTCTTGAAGAGTTTACGTCAAGGAACATAATGAATATTATCATATACCACAGCTTTCTTTTTGTAGTCTTCGTTTCTGTTTCTTTACAGCTTGTACAAAAAGGTGTAAAAACTGCGGAACTCTGAACCCGACCAGGTGCACCTGCAGCTGCCCCAACGGTTTCCTGGGTCCCGACTGCGGAGGTACGGTCATCATTCTTTACCGATGGCAAATAAATGTCAGCTTCTTTTTGAAAATCAAGAGCACCTTTAAACTATCCAAGAAGTTTAGAGACGGTGCATGCTCGGCAAAGATAACAGGCAAAGCTGGGCTGTGCCTCGCCAGTTGTCACACTCAGTCACAGATCATTTCATTCCAAAGACGTGCCCTGCAAGCCAAGGGCCTAGATTTCTATCGAACACTTGGGGGGGGGGGGGGAAGGGGGGGGGGCTTTGATGCAGGAGGAACGTACGAGCTTCATTTTGTGACTCAATATATTTTCAGCGAGTGAGGGAGCTGCAACTGTGAGGGCGCTAATTATAGAAATATCGCGTTTATTGCGATTTCCCTTTAGTCTTAAACTTTCAGATTATAAACAAATTCATTTGTTTTATTTAAAGCATCATGTAAGATTACGTCAATAACATGGCAGTCACATAATATTTGTACCCCTAATATGGCCTCTGTAGGTTTGAGAAGAAAAAAACCCCAGTTGTGCCTTCCTCCAAAGTCTGAGCTATAGGGCACGTAGGAGGGCACTTGCCTCAACCGTGGCGTTGGGGCGTGCTTGCCATGGCCCTGCTCCCTTGCACCACTTTGGAAATTAGGCCTATGACGGACAAATCCTAAAACTTTACAAACGCTGCACTTCGAAAGCGTGCACGTCCCTGGTTTTTCGAAGTGAACTTTAAATTCAGAGTTAATGTAGAGTTGGTTTGGGAATGGGTCATTAGGGAGACTTTCCCATAGACTTGTGCACAAACTTAAATGTACACTTACCCAATATTCCCTTGTCCTTTTTGCACGAATTTCGGTATGTTAACTAATTAGACCACGAGCAACAAATATAAGCTAACTGTGACATAAAACTTTGCCTCTAAAGGGGGCTGTGCCATTAGGGAGACAGTTATGTGTCTCCCTAAAAGCCAGTGTCTCCCTATTATCAAAAAGAAAATAACGATAAGATGGCTTCCTAATGGTACATTTGGTAATATCATACTTTCTGATAAAATAATAATACTTATAAGTGGTGTTTATAAAGCGCCTTTGCCAAAGGAAACAAAGAACTAATTATTGCATCAAGATTGTTTAAAAAGCAAAAGGAAATACGACGAGACATTTTTTATTTACTTTTTTGTATCATCATGCTGAAAGGACTTCACCCCTGTATGAACAGTATTGAAGAGTATTTTGAGTATTGAGTAGTGAGGGTTTGAGTTAAGGCATCGCGAATTTCAAAGCCTTCCCCGATGCCTTGTCGGAAATTCAATAATCGCGCTGTGGCGATTCCGAACACGACCTTTTCATTTTTGAAACGCAAACCCATCGGTTGCTCATGTATTACGTGGACCCTGTAACGGTGTTAAAACTCTCAGTTTGCAAAACGGGAAATCACTTCAGTTCCGGCAGCTTACTTCTAATCCCGGAATTATTGTTAAATTGCCCACGGAACAAATCATTGTGTTCCGCTAGTTAAGTACTATCAATTACACGCAAGAAGTGGCATTCAAAGCGCTCCCGTCACATTTACTCGAACATGAAACTGGGCCAGATCCTTCGGATGCGATTTGCTGATACGAGGTCTGACTCATGAGCAACTGAAATGGCAAGTCATGGAATGTTCTCGAAAGGAAAAACAACCTAAATTGGCGATGAAAAAAAGGGTGGGAGCTAATTCGTGCTGTGCAGTAGGCCTACTTTACATTTAGACTTGGTCCGGTAGTGGTGGTGGGAGGGAGAGGGGGAGGGGGGGGGGGGGGGTGGAAGACCATCTCATTTTGGGGGAGCTTTTCAAAGCGGACGATCTTGGACAATATTATGATAATGGGTGGCGCTATTCATCGTGGAATATTCACAGCAGACCCACGTTTTTGCCGACAGAACCATGGGCGTCGCCAGGGTTTTTTTTCTAGAGCCCCCCCCCCCAAATCCCTGTACTGTTCCACGATATTCTCGATTGATCATTTTTCGAGGGTAGGCAGGGATATTTGCCACCCCCGAACCCATTAAATTAACTGCAACATGACTTCGCCCCTCTTTTTCTTTCTTTGATCCCTTTTTTTCCTCCTTTATTTTTTTGCTTATCCGGGGGGGGGGGGGGGGGGGGGGATCGACGCCCTTGACAGAACGACGATTTTCCAGAAGCCCCACCCCAAGAGCATTTGGGCGGAGGGGGTCATATCCCCACCTCAACCACCCACACCCTCTAGCGACAACCGTGTCACAACAGTACTATAGTTTACCATCAGTTAGCTCGATCTAGAAAGGCATGCACTTTATGGCTCTTCTACATCATAATTTACATCTTTTACAAACACAATATTTATTGTCGATTCTCACACTGTAGAGGTTTGTCAAGATACACACGAATATTGTCACCGGAACCCCGGGTGGCCGGATGCGTCCTTCTGCTCGTTCGATCCCATGGTGCCCGTGGGGTGCCCTCTCATGTGCGGAGAGTGTAGTAAGTACATTACCATGTCATTTATTTTATACAGGGTGAGTAAAAAAAACCCGAAACCCAAATGTCGGGACCATTGTTTTAGTGAATCGCCGTTTTAAGGTTCTGTCCACGGATCACAAAATAGTTCAGTGTTCTTTCAGCAAAACGAAAACAAATCACATAAGGATGTGTGTGAACTGTTTTCGTTTTGCTGAAAGAACACTGAACTATTTTGTGATCCGTGGACAGAACTTTAAAACGGTGGTTGTGTTTAAAACTCCGTAACTTGAAAAGTGCATGTGTGATTTGAATGATTCTTGTACTAAATGAAAGCATATGAATTGGGCTTTTATATCCTAGATTTTGAAAGAGCTACATGCAGAACTTCACTAAAGCAATGGTCCCGACATTTGGGTTTCGTTTTTTTACTCAAACAAATGCAAACAAAATATAATGGAATGCCAGACGTAGAATGTGTAAAAAGATCACATAATATGAGTATGGTTTAAAATATACGTTTTTCCACTTTAAAGTGAGACATAAAACGTCCACATCTGATAATTTTTGACACAGATACATGTAATTTTCCAAGAGAGGTCAAATTGACCATGGGGCCAAGTTTTCAATTTTAGGCATATGGACAAAGCTAGCCTACTGTGTGGATAATTGCCTGGCCTACAAAAAAATGTGTTTAACAAGTAAATGCAAATCTAAACACTTTCTTGCTATCAGTTTGTGCACATAATAAACATTTTTAGCATGAGGTGATGGCAAGAACAGGTTTTGAGTAATGAGTTCGTTTTTATATTTTTATCTCTTTTTTTCTACAGGTGCCCGGGATAGGAATTACAACTGTGGTAAGTTTGCATTTGGAATAAGAAACAGCTTTTAATTGTTTTGTTTGTGAGAAGTATACTATAGGACTTGTTACTAGTTCATAAGTATTTACGAAGAACAACATCAGTTCATGAAATACACTGTATTTCCGAGAAATCTCGGATCAAATTTCGGAAAAATTAGGAACCGAAGATATCAAGATATCCCCACCACTGAATAAACTGAACTAACTACAGTCGTGCTTGATCGAGGCCAATCGATTCGATAACAAATCATGGAATCTTTTAACTAATTATCAGCCACGGGTAGGGTTTTAAATACTCTTAGTTCTCTGGTGCAATAAAGGCTTCAAATTGCAACACGATATGGTTGCTCGCATGATTCGACGGGGACGTCTTTATAGTCCGAAGTACCATTGGTCCGAAGTCCCATTGGTCCGAAGTCCCATTGGCCCGAAGTCCCATTGGCCCGAAGTCACATTGGTCCGAAGTCCCATTGGCCCGAAGTCCCCTTGGTCTGACGCCCATAGGATTAGGGTTAGGGTTAGGGTTGGGGTCAGTCAACCTGAACTATAGTGGAACTACACAGTATTATGTTTCGTCGGACCAATGGGACTTCGTACCAATGAAACGTCGGACCAATGGGACTTCGGACCAATAGGACTTCGGACTATCGAAACGTAACCGATTCGACTGAGCTTCCATTTCGTCTCCATCTTTGGGGACATCTATATAGAGCAATCCGGACACGATAGCTGCACCTGCACATGTTAAATTGGCGCTACGTTGCACTTTTTTCCAGACCTCTTGACAACTCAATCGAAAAAGTGCCTAGGATTGGAATGACAACATAGAGTTTGAAGCACGTCGAGTATAAAAAAGAAACAAACAGTCGTTGATCAACATTATTGTCAGAGCCTCGTGTTTTGCTTTAAGAGCCTTCCTACGGTTATGCTGGGAATATTTAGATTTCAAACAAGACCATAACAAGCTAGCGTCAACAATTTAACCGTAGGGCGAAAGAGCAAAACCTGGATATTTTTTTGAGGGGGTTAGGTTAGGTTCTTAAATTTTAAGTTAAAAAGGATAGAAGGAGCAGTGGCGGATACAGGATTTTTTAAACGGGTAGTCAGGTGGCATTATGGTCGGAATCATGACCGACTGGTCCAAAGCACCAAACGTGGCAGATAGATTATTAATAGCACTAAAGAAGATATTTAGAAGGGGTGACTCTTGAAATTCTTTGTATATTTGAGCAATTTTTAAAAGCACTTTCGAACGACTACGGTACAAGCTCTCAATATACAATATAACAAATAAATAATTCTTGCAATTGTCCTCGGATAGAAACAAAAATAAAACAAAAAGTTATGTGGCGATGGCCAAGTCTTCAGGAGTCGGACTTATGACCCTAACTCAATGAGCCCCTTACCGACTTCCAATATAGAACTCTTCCGGGACTCGGTACCCGGCCCACCACACCTCCTTCCCTGTCCATCCATAACTCGAAAGTCAGGCACCATAAAGGGAGGAAACGAGGTGGCACCCTAAGCCTTGCTGCCGAGTCAGCAAAAGAACCCCGTACCTATACGCAGATGCCAACCTGGACTTCGCAGACAGTCCCAACTTGTGAGTCAGCTTACCGACCGACCGAGCTAACTGCTGTTGGTAAATGACGACGGGAAATTAAAACTCTTGAATTAAATGCCAAATTCGCCTGCGCTAAAAAAACAAAACATGACACCACGGGAATTTGAACCCCTAACCCTGGATCCGCTGTCAGACACTTTAACCACTAGGCTATTCTCAGTAGGTGGTTTTCTCTTTACGTGTTAAAACTGATGTGCATTTCATATTGTGGTGACTATTCATTCCTGCAACGGGAGGGTATCTTTGTGTTTTTAATAGCTGCGCGAAAGATGATTCCGCTATTCACATGAATGCTGTTACGTAACTCTTTTCCACATTCATTCTTATTACAGTTGACTATTCAGAGTCACTACGAGCAATTAACCTTACCATGCTCGCCCTACAATTTGTCTCATCAATTGTTTCGCGTCGCGCGACCTTCGTCCAGCACTGGCATCGCTAGTAATGGAGTGACATTCTAGCAAGTTTATAATAACCACCCACTTCCTCATTTTACAAATATTTACGGGTAGGCTACCAGGTCGGTATCAAATGAGGGTAATAATGCTTATGGTGATTTGTGGCAAGGTATGCTCCCCTGTACTTTGAAAATATGCGATAGCTAGCATTGCAGCAGTGGCAGCTTTTTAGGTGATATCACTTTTTAACAAAAATAGCGGCAAAAACATGCTTGTTACAATCCAGTAACAAGCATACTGGCAGTCATTTTGAAAAAAAAAACCCCAATACATTAAAAATGATAACACACAAAAACTGTTTTCGTTCACATTGCAGGGAATACATGTTACCCGGAACAAAAGTTACTAACATCATTGATATAATTATACAGTTTTTATAAAAATCTTCATTCCCTTACTAAAAAAAGAGGTATTTTTGTTACTTGAGAGAGCTCTCTCTGGGTCCGGCCCTTGAATTTGACTAGTTAGGCCTATGCAAAGGGACCACTTAGAAGGGTACTCTGCTTTTGCTTGCCAGTTCAGTGACCATTTTATTCGTGTGAGTAGCAGTTTTTTTTACAGGCTATAGTTTTCCATCTTGAGAGGGAGCACAATTTTAATGAGAGCACTAATTTTGAGAGGCAGTTTTCCATCTCAAGAAGTTATCGCGAGAGGAGCACTATTTTTTTATTGTCAATTTTCTATTTTGAAAGAGGCAAAATTTTGTTATTGCGAGAGGGGTGTTTGTTCTTTCGAGGGACGGTTTTCCATTGACGCGCGAGGTTTGTTTGTGTTTTTGAGGGGAAATTTTGCATTACAATAGAGGAGACAATTTTTAAGCGCGATTATATTGCTTTGTTTTGTTTTTATATCGAGAGGGCACATTAATGACTGCGAGAGAGGCACTTTTGTTGGTCTGGGAAAAACGGGGTGGGGGTGGAAGTGCCCCCTGCCCCTCCCCCGTTAAATTTGACGAGCGCCCTCTGTGGGTATCATAATTTCACTCGCGCCAGAACCATCAGACAACCGATATTTTATTCATCCTTTTTATTGAAGCCAACCCGAGTGGATCTGGAGGGGGCGGATCGCGACCGACGAGTGGCGGAGGGGGCGTGGTCACGAAGCCCAAGAAGAAGAAGAAGAAGAAGGGCAAAAAGGGCAAAAAGGGAAAGAAAGGGAAGAAGGGCAAGAAGAGGGGCCGACGTCCCAGATCGCTTCTGGATCAAATACCGTGGTAAACAAAATCAAGAGAATTAAGGTGTTCGAAATCCTAAAGTGTTCTCATATTTTCAAAAGGATCATTTTAGTTTGTATGGTGAATTGAAGGTTTTTTTTAAAAATCGCTATGCTCATCTATACACAGGATGAGTCAAAACAAAATTGACCGAATTAGAAACAAAATATTGTAAATTTTGTGGTCATAAAAAATAACATAGGGATATTTGAAATATTGACAAGTAACAGTTGAAACTTTACGCAATTTGCATACTCTGTTCCCAAGTTATGTGTATTTCAATAAAACGCTCATAAAATTCACCTGTCCACCTCTGATCATTAGCCGTTAGTACGAAGTGATGAATACCATTGAATACAATAAAATATGAACGTTTTCCCACCTCCATGAATGAATGAAAACTTGCAAAGGACAACAGACAACAATCGCCATCAATATTCTGGAAAAAGTTGACTATTCCCCATTTTCAAAACACAAAATCTGACAGTAACAATTATGTTTCAGTCTGGACCTAATGATTAAAATCTCATTTGTATTTGAATGCCAATCAGTCTGTAATTCTCACTCAGCTCAGTAGCTTCCAATGGCATTTGACAGCTGTAAAATGTGAAAAATATGTTCTTTTCAACATGCATAACTTGGATCAATATTAGTAAGTCTTTTTTTCCAGATGAATGAAAAAACCTGCTCTTTTAAGACTCTTCTTTGGCGTATCAAATTTGATTGTTTCTCAAGAAAAAAAAATCGTTAATCCAGGTCACTTTCGTTTTTACTCACCCTGAATACTGGGAGGATTCAGTGATTGTGGAATTATTTCAAATTGTATCCGCCAATGAAAGGTCAGTCGTATGTCTAAAAGCATGCGAGAACGACATAGAGTTGATTTTCGTCAACCGTTGGTAGTAACGTTTGCTTTAAACATGATTGAAGATTTGTTGCCTTCTTCAAGCTGTGTACATTGTAATTGCCGTTCTGAGATTTCGCTCGTCCCCACTGTCCCATCCAAAGGCGCTGGTGGTGGCTAATCGCCTTCTGCTCTCACTGGACAACATTTGTTGACCCGATGACATGGACTCAATGCGTTCTAAGCTCGTTTGCCCCCTGACGTTGGTCAGCTCTTCCGTGTGCGCATGACCCTTTCACACCACCAAATGTATGTGGGTCAATGACCCACATCAACCCCGCCCGCAAGGGATTTCGCGCTTCAGTCTCGTTATGTGTGCAACGCGCACAAAGTTTTTGTGCCCCCCATTTTTGAAAATCCTGGATCCGCCCCTGTGGGTCATTCCATAAAATGTGGGGTCCAATATTTAGCTGCGGACAGCATAGCAACTTAAGAAATAGTCGTGTCTCTCCGTTAGTTAGTAACAAACGTTCCAGTGCAGCATTGCATGGCTATATATATCAACGCGTCCATCATCACGCCCTGGCAAAGGATTTTATCAACTCGTCTCGTGCCCTCAGGCCCTTGCCCTCTTTTGTGTAACTGTAATGGGTCCCCACTGACCGTCAAAGCTCGTCATGGGGTCACTAGGCTTAAAAACCTGATTTTTGTACCCAAAACACTATTTCTTTCAGATGTTACATTGCACAATCACTTTACTCATGCATGAACACGAATTTGATGGCCCGCGGCTTTCGAGATCATTTCGAGCTTGTTTTTCGTGTCGCTGGTACATCATGATATGAGATTTTGTAAATTCAGGACACGTTCTTTAATGTCTTCTATCTCCAAGAGTGGTTATGCGATGGAAAAAGACCCCAAACAAATATTAATGATAATTGTAAAAAGCCTATGGCAAATTACACAGGTCAGGTGTAACAGGGACACAAAATGGTAACATTTTTGGACCCCACATTTATGGAATGACCCACGCACATTGTCAATAGCAAGTGATCCACCGTGACCTGCGCTTCCTTCACAAGATTTTGTGAAGCAGATTAGCCCCCACCAGCGCCTTTTGGATAGGGCCGTGGGGACCAGCGAACTATGGAGATGTGGCGGACACAATAAAGAGGGCGCTGTTTTAGTTTGGTACCAAAACTTTTCTATTTAGCGCCCTCATATTGTTGTGTCCGCCACCTCTCCATAAGGTTATAATGATATTGCAAAAAAAATATAGCTTTACCGCAACTATATTAAACCTAACAGTGTGGACTGCCTAATAAATGCGTAAAGTATACAAGTTCATAACCACCTGTTTAACTATTATTCTAAAATGTGGCACATTTTTAGCGCCAAATATTTTGTACAAACGCAAGTGTAATCAGCAGCTCTTAGCATGCACTGTTGTATTGAAAATGCATGCCTTATTATGAAAAATCAATTTAAATTTCGTATTTTCCAAAATTCTGGAGAAATGTTGAAGTAAAAAAAAAAAAAAAAAAAAACGACACTCCTGATTTCGTTATGAGAAACAACAGTCCGACATTTTGGCTCGTCGTGCGGGTTTTATTTTCGGGGGTGGGGGGTAAAACTGCCCAAGTCTTGTGAGAAATCTGTTCCCTTTCTGTTGCAGTTAAAGTACAGACGGGAGAATTATCTACCTATTCATGAAATCATTGATAATAATATAGCTACACTCAACCAAAAAAGGAAGTCCCCCCTTAATACTTTTGTGTCTAACTCAAAAATTACTGGGCACATCTTGGTCAAATTACGACTGATCCGTACAAAAATTCCTTAGCAATCCAGCCATACTCTTTGTTTGGCCCCAAAACAGTGATAATGTGTACAAAATTCTGCAATTTATGACAAATGGAAGCGAAAAAAGTTGCACTTTTGTATACGTGCAAGGTGAGTGTGAACCACAATTTGCACGTATGCAAAAGTGCAACTGTTTTCGGTACAATTTGTCATAAACTGCATAAATTCGTACACAATATCACTGTTTTGGGCCAAATAAAGAGTATGGCTGGATTGCTAGGAATTTCTGTACTGATTAGAAGTTATTTGAGCGAGAGGTGCTCAGTAGTTCTTTAGATAGACAAAAAAGTATTGGAAGGGGGGGGGGAGGGCTTAATTGACGACGTGTCTGCAACTTTTCCAACTCTCAAATACTGAAGTACACACACTGAAACATGTTGTGGTCTTCCGCAAATGCACGGTTTATTTCTTTGCATGAACATTAATATAATGCAGCTGAAAGCTCGTTCGTTTGTATTATTATAGTTTGTGAGGAAAACCCCAGTAAAAGTCGAATCTGAGAGACAATTGAGACAAAAAGGTGTGAACATAAACGTGATATAAGGAGTTTCCAGAAATTATGCAGAGATACATGTGTTATTTATTTAGTTTTCAAAATTTGGTACATGTCTTCTATGTTTTTTATATAGAAGCGAGTTTTTCGCTTTTTTGAAAGACAACTTTCTGAAATTGTTGTTGCATCCAATAATATTGCCTACAGACTTTTGCCGGCGACTTTTTAAGTCAGTCATTATTACAGACGCCATAATAACAATTAATAAAAATACAATCACAAGCCCATGGCTTTCAGTTGATTTTATAAGACGAAAATCTGAATAAATATAAATTACATAAATATTTCACAAAACAGTACATTAATAAATACATTATGTAAGTGGTATAAGTTAACTTGCTAGCACAAAATAATCATTCGAAAGTCTCTTATTTACAAATCCTTTCCGCACCAATCCACATTTTTGGCCAACACTTTCAAGTCTGGTTTTCGCCTTCCAGATTATGCTGCAGGGCAACGCAGAAACTCCTCGGCGAAGTTTCTCGGGTAGTCGTTGAGGGCGACAAACGATGACGTCTTGTAGTCGTAGACGTAACGGTAGTACTCTTGCCCAACCAGAACGTTAGCAAAACCTGCATATTTAAACAAAAGAAATAAAAAATGTCATCATTTTTTTCAAGGCTACACAGATCAGGCATTTGATTCGAAGTTGTCTAACGAAGCTAGCTAACACTGGCCTTGGTTATCTGTAATAACTCTTCTTCATTTTGTACGGTTGGACCTTCCATAGTTTTGCAACCTGCGGCTGGCAAAAGTGTAGTTTGCCAACCAAGCGTAGAAAGGTCCATATTTTTCAGTTGACGATGTTCTCTATAAGACACAGTTCCTTCCCTTTAAAAAAATGTTGACTGCCGAAATGGAAGAACCATCTGTTTTATCTCATGTTCATTTCCTAAGTCACTGTAGTTGTTCCTGGAATAGTGGTTTCCGATCAAGTTTAGGGCCTTAGACTAGATTTCTACCCCACCTGCTCTTCGGGGATGTACAATTTTTAAATGCAGAAAGAAACCCTATTGAATATTGGGGACAGATTTGCAAAAGAAGTTGACTTCAAATTCGATGATAGGCCTTTTGATTATAGTTTCACTTAAACATTACAAATTCCTCACCTTGGGCGAAAAAAGCCGAGGTTGGCCGTTCAGAAATTCCCTCGAAGATATTCTTGACCTTGGCCGAGCTCTCGGAGAGTTCCAGCCTGTATTCGTCGAAGGTTAACACCCTCTTGGCCTTGATCAAGTAGGAGAAACCGACATCCGCTAGGTGCACCACCCCCGAGACGGACTTGGGGAAGCCTAGATCCCTGACGTTTTGCGGGAAGTCCGTGTCTGTGTCCGGGTTGATGTCCTTCAGTTGGTACTGCGGCGAGGCACCAGACCAGGACGATGACTTCTCGTACACCCAGTAGTTCTTGGCTGTTGGTTGGAATACAGTGAACCAAAAAAATGTGGTGAGTGAACGGCTGTTGCGGTTTGTGCAAATGACTGCCTGCATATGTTGTAGACCATTAAAGCTCACATTTTTAATGCAGACTGAGTTTGCAAAACACCCGAGGCTCAATTTATGAAACTGCTTAGCAAAAACATTGTTTAGCAAATTTAGGTTGGCTGGGAACCAGACAAAAGAAATACCTCACGTGACAATTTCGCTGGTAGTCATTCGCTGAGGAAATATTGTCTATGCTTATAGCCAAGTTTTATGCTTACTCGCTCCACAAAGATGAACTGGAATGACCATCGATTGACAAAAAACCCACCCGAACCTAGAATTAACAGAGGGCTCTGTTTCGAGGAACGGTACTCCACAAGACGTGCCAAACTCTTTAAAGGACCGTTCTATTTCTCAGAGTGCATGTACGTGACCGAGTTTGACTGAGCTACCGTGGTCACCTGACCAAATGTCGTGATCTAATTGGTCATTGGGGACTGTTTGATTGACAGGCAGGGAGGGTTCATTAAATAGGCGGGGAGTTCTGATAATGTTACCTTTGAGTACGATGACGTTTCCACTCCGGCCTTCCTGGTAGACGGCCCTGACACCTGACGGGAACTTGGGGAAGATATCCCGGGGAGATTGACCCTCGGGAGGAGAGAGCAGATTACGGTCGGAATCAAACCTCCACATCATCCCACTCTGTAAAAGGAGAAACATACAATAATTGAAATCGCTCAGAGTTGATATATTTGGCTAAGAAAAGGAAAACTTTCTAAATTCTTTGTTCCAATTTATGTTCAAAAAAATACACGTCTGTTCTAAAAATGCATTTTGTAAGCCTTGGTTCGATGTGCACTTTTGTCACATTGTTACGGCAATTACCCTTTATAATTATTTTCTCCCCGGTTGACTTGATTTTTACTGAACAGCCAATTCCCTTAAGATATTTCGCAAGCTAGAGCTAGCAAGACGAGTAAGATTATTTAGTGAAAGGCAATTATCATGACTGAGTTTCAGTTTTACCGATGAACACTTCAACTATATTTTACAAAAAAAGTAAGTCCCCAAAGCTGGTATCATAAATATTATATCAATGTTTAAGAACATTTAAATCCAGCTTAAAATATAATCAGATCTGGAGGACTTGCACCTGGACTACTTTCTTTTTTACAAAACTGGGTTGATTCCTGTAATGAATCAACCCAACTTTTGTTGAGATTGTTTCCTTCAATGACGTTTAAAAAATACGAACGAATCGCCCCGTGGGGCCTTTTCTAATTATGAAGGACGTGTGACGTATTAATCAAGTCAAAAGGCTATAACCCTCACGACATCGTGTTGATCTAAAGGGGAATTTCCCCACAACTTACAGTTGGTGGAACTTATTTGGCCGCTGAGGGGAATCAACTGTGCACACTTACCCCGAACATGAAGTACTCGCTGTCAATGAAAGCCGTCGCATCGAAAGTGGTTTCGCAATACAGACGGTTCACGGTCACCGGCGGGTCAGTTGTTGCAGGCGGGTTAGGGTTGGGTCCTTGGGAGAAGAAAACAGGTAGATGTTTAAGTAGAATATGTCGCTGTGTCTTGTTAAAAGAAAATTAGTGAACTATTATAGACCACGTCACTTGTGAAGTCATTGCAAAACATATGACGTCATCTGTGTCGATTGTCGACATGATCAACTGCCACCAAAGCATATCTTTTTCATATCTTACTTCATAAAATAACTCAAAGCGTCTCTTTTTTTTTGATCGACAGTTTTCTGGTCAAAAGAAGCTTATAACTTTTTTAAAATACTAAATTGGATATTGTGGTCAGGTGACACCAACATTGGTTGTAGTGGTCACGTGATGTCGTCCCTCAGCAAAGTGTTCTATTCTGCATTTCATGTATCTCGTGAAATACGGCTAGTTATAAAAATTGTGAGGAATCTTATCACATAAGATTGATAAGTATTGTACTCTTAAGTTTTAAGCCATGAATATTGAGGACAGCAAAATAAACGGTGCAAATTTGATCCGGGCTCAACCTGACATGATCAATCACGCGGTAAGCCCAGTCAATTCAAAACTTTGAACGGAAAATTTGAGCCACGGTCCTAACTCTTCAAGTTTAGTCAAAGTAAAGTCTTCATTTATTTTCCTAAACCCGAGGGGCCATGGCTACTGTCCACTGAGTGAGTAACTGAGTGAATGCAATCTCCTTAAAGGGAATATACAACATTTGCAAACATCGAAAAATAAAACTACCAAGTTTTTGCGAAATACCTTAATAGGATGTTGGTAAATGACAGTCTAAAGCATCCTGTAAAATTATGGCACCTGGTATACTGTCATTTTCAAGAAAAGTGGTATTTTTGTATCAATTTCCAACGCTGATCGGCCGATCAGCGTTGGAAACAACTGGCTTTTTTTTCAAATACTGGACCCAATTGACCATTGCACTTGTTTGCAATCGATTACAAACCTATGAACGGGTACGAGCCAGCTAGACTGGTTCCCTGACCTTACAATTCCCCAATGTAACTAAACTGCTTTGTTTCTTCTTATATGGAGTCAGGGAACCAGACTACAGGAAAATGATCGTTTTTCTAGGTTTTTATAGCATTTTCGAACCCAAAACCTCCAAAAAGTCAGTGTAACTATATTTGCTTTATATTTCCAACCCCCCAATTCCATCCATTTCTGAAAATTACAGCAAAAGCAAATGATGTATATTCCCTTTAAACAACTTGCTTTCGGGTCGAATTCGAGTGATCGACCAGGCAAAACTAATTTTCCCCTTAATATATTAGAGGTCTTCTTACCATAAAGACTTTGGACGCCCAAGATGTCGTCCTGTGGGAGCTTGTAGTCCGGGATGTATCCGCGATCGTAGGGCCACATCAGGGAGTCAAGCTCTTCAGAATGGAACAAACCTAGGGCGTGGCCGATCTCGTGAGCCAGCGTGTAGAACAGGTTGGTACCTGTTGGAATGAATTCAAACAAACCAAAAACAAGAAATTATGAGGATGAATTTCAGGTCATTTACTTGAAAGTCAATACAGTGATTTGCAGTCTAACTTTTAAACAACACCCTGGAAATCCAGAAGCTTGTCCGTTCCCCTCTGTGAATTTAAACCAATGAGATCACGAATCCGATTTTGGAATGGCCAATAAAATCATAGATTGATACATTAGGCCCCGCACACTGCATACGTTGGAAACAACACATGCGCCTCTCCAATGCCAGACTGCATGTTGTAGACGCGCGCGTCATACATTAAGTGCACGCGTGTTGGACTTCTGTCGGACTGCTGTGATTGGTCAAAACGTCACTGGGCGGGGCTTAGTGGATCGGCACCATGGGCGTCGCGAGGGGGGGGGGGGGGGCAAGGGGGGGCAATTGGCCCCCCCCCCTGGAAAAATCGGCACATTGATAAAAAAAAAAAGTATCTTACCTCTGTACACTCCTTTGGTGAAAGTCTCGTCGTCGTCCAAGTGCACGTCTCCGTCCGTCTCGCCCCAGCCGGAGTTCGGGGTGAAGGCGTGGGCCAGGGTGCCCCCTGGGCCGTCGAAGGGCGGGTCCCCGCGCACTCTGGTGTGAGCTCGCCCGCCGAAGAGCAGCCTGATGTCCGCGTCGTCGCTGTGGATCTCGGTGAAGGTGAGCGGGGTGACGTCACTCCAGACCTTGAAGGCGGCGCGGATGTCTTCGTCCACCTGTTCGCGGGTCAAGTCTGGGGAGTTCTCGCCGGGATAATTCATGATTCTATTGGGGAAGAAATTGTTTTGGTATTGCTCATTTCAGGAACTTCATTTTTTAAATTTATTTTAGGAACACTTTGTTGAATAAGTGATTCAAGTGAAAGGAGGTCTGTATAGGCCTATTCCTCTTAAAGAAACTTTTCTAACGGATTGTGAAAGCTTACTGAAATATTATATAAGTATCATGATAAAGTTGATTGCCAACACATAGACACTTATTTTTTAAAGCATTTTATATCAAAATAGGTGTACTAATCAAAATAGTTAAGGACGTAATTTTTAAGTTAAGGAATTCGCAGAGAAACAAATCGATGAGACAAACAAAGAAAATCAGAGGGAAAAAATTGGGAAATTGTTCAAAAACTCACTTGTAAGTGAGATCCGTCTTGTCCGTCCATTTGTAAGGGTCGCCCAGCACGGAGTACCGCCTGCCGCGCCGGCCCGGCCCTTTGACCACGTCACGGGGGTTTGCGTCTTTGACACCGCAGCGGGGCTTGCTCAGCATCTCGGCCGTCATCTGGTTAATTTCCCCGGTCTGGGGTATGCCGGCCATCCGCTGCATGGCCTGGATCGCTTGCCGTTGTTCGCTCATGGTTGGGAGTTTGCCTTCAGCCTTAGATGGGAAGTGATCAAAGTAGCCGTACTTCTCGAGAAAATCCTGTAGAACGGACAGATTTACAATTGAAAATTATCCTTTCTGAAATGCACAATGGAACTTTAATATACGAAGCAAGAATTTTGTATAAACAATCGTTAATTGAAATGGTTTTTATAATGTGGTTGTTTTACTTACATAGAGGCGGGCCGTTTCTTCAATATCACTTGGAGGTCGAGCGAATGTTTCTTGAACGAGGCTGCACCCTAGAAACGCTCCAAAGAGCGCCCAAAATCTGACACTGTTCATTATTGTTGCACGAGCTTAATCTGTGTTGACCCAAATGTGTAGCTTGTTCTTAAGGTCGCTCTTTGCACACGATGTAACTTTCTGACAAGACGACCAGCGACTTGCCAGTTATATAGCCTTTTCTCAAGGTCGCTATTTACGCCTCTTCACGGATCTCGCACAAAACCCTATCAAATAATAAGCGCTTGCTCCAATTCGCGGAATAAAGCCCTATCCTGATCATAAGCCAGTTCAAATGACAATCAGTTCTGTAATAACCGCAACTAGTGTAGGCTGCCAGGCTTAAGAACTCTTGATTGTGTTTGCGATCTCTATGGACGCCTTCATCCCTGATTGGGTGAATCTCACCACAGTGTGATGATGTCAGTTCCTGCTTCAGTCTGAAGCGCAGGCAGGCTGCAGTCTGCGGCTAAAAGACTCATTGCACCGCTTCCGCGTAACGCCTATTATCCAAAAGTTGTACGACCGGAGAATCAAGCGATGGATTATCCATCAAAATGTGTATACAGGGCCTGTCATTCAGGCCAGGAACGGATGCCGTGTAGCGCAAAGGTAAACAAACTCAGCAATGAATGGGTATTGTTATGGGCCCACTTGCTGAAGGAGAATAAAGTGAACAACCAATATTTTACAATTTGATTACGAAGAGCAAAGTGTTAAATCCGACCGCGGAACAAACACTCGCCTATGAAAACAATAGCCATAACATTCTGAACAAGAAAATGACTTTGTCGTGATGGTCAGTTATTTCTAGTTTTATTGGCACTCTTGTTTCTCATAAAGCATTCATTGTTAAGGCATGTAGACATAAAAAAAAATCGCGATAGAACGAATGCTCCCTTTGGGTCGATATTTTACATCTTTGAAGATTTAGGGTGCTCCTTCACATAATTTACACCTGAGAGACAACAAACAGACTTGATTCTACAGGTGCGTGGTTGAGACACCTGGTTTCTTGTTCCAACTGTCTTGCATCTGGAATTGATTTTGGGTATTTTTTTTTTTTTTTTACTTGGTTAAAGAATTTACCATTGACAAAAAATGATACGCATAGCTTTATTTTACAAAATATGCCTTGTGACTGATTTGTTTGCATTTGGTATCATTACGTCTGTTTCTATTTCGTATTGTTGTCTGTCGGATATCCACGTTGAATTAGTCAAAGAGTGATTAAGCCCAAAACGCTTTGCTCATCTAGCTGTTGAAACATATGTACCTGGTTGTTAAATTTTTCCATGTTTTGTCAATTTTGATGTTTTGGACTGCTCAGCCATTGTGCAAAATAATTGTAATGCAGTGTAAGTACGGTTTTATAGGGTCGGTTGTAGCATTCTTTCTCTCTATATTATTTGTAGAAACCCCAGAATTTGAGGCATAAGCCTGAATCTTTAATCTATCAGCTTTACCGTTCATTCACATTGCGTGGCGAGGCGCATGTGGGGGGGGGGGCAAAACACATTTCGCTAGCTTATTCTCAACTGATCATTTTTTCCAGGGTGAGGGGGGGGGGGGGACATTTGCCCACCACACCCCCATTGATACCCCTGCAGACGCCCATTTTGTTAAATGTGTATTAAATTAATAGCAAATATGACTTCACAACCCTTTTCCCTTTTTGTTCTCCTTTTTTGTTTGTTTTTGTTTTGCTTTTCAAACTGGGGGAGGGGGCACAAGTGCCCCTTGCCCCCCCCCCCCAAACGCCCAGGGGGGTCTCAAAACATGAAATGGTGTCGATATTCAAACGATTACCGTATATCTTTAAGTCAAATTACCCCATGAAGAACCTCCAGCAAGGTTAAAGAAACTTAGGCAGGCATCTTTCGTCCACACGGATACAATATGCGACCATTACATCATGGTCTATTTTGGAACCACTACGTCATCAACTTCCAATCATGCTCAAGCTGCTATGCGGACGACTCGGCTGCGTATGGTAACCTAATTAGCCTATTTTTCCAGATGATTTTCATCTTCGTTGGTAAACATGTATCCGTCATTCCCTGCAAGCGTGTTTCTACCGCAAAGACTTCGGTTCGTAACACCCAGTGACTATTCCTTTCAATGTTGCCAGCAGTCGTTCCTGGAAACTGTCCAACTTTGAACTTGTCTCATTCATTTGAACTTACTAACGCAAATTATCCAAACTTCTGTGCAGACGAGTATCTGCGTAAAATTGAAGGGGCTGCTTAATGAAAACTATACTAATGCAAGCCTTAATTGTGAAGATGGTAATTAGCCTGTTTGAGGTATGTCCACACGATAGCGGGCGTTATTTGGGTTTGGTAATTGCAAAAAGACTTTATCCAACGCAAACAGCGCCCTTCTTTTGTGTCTGCTATATTTATCAACTTAAACAAAAGATGAACTCTATATCTTTTTTTTTTATCAAGAAAGCGATAAATTTGCTATTATGCACAATTTGTAGGAGAAGTATTCAAACCTTGATTCGTGTAAACATTTTAAGGCTGAAGCTAGCGGGTCCTTTCAATAAAACTGTAGGCCTACGCCCACTGGATTCGCCTAGTGACGCCCCCGTATATTTCACATTCCTCTTGGGTAAGTCAAAGGTTTTCAAGACAGAAACAAGAAATGCAGTCTATTTCCAAGTGGGTGAAAACCTCACACATCATGTGCCCACGTCTTTGAGTGTTCTTGGCCTTGAGTTTTGGGCATTATCTATTAAAAACTTCCCTCAGGCTGGCTTTGGTGTTGAAGTTGAATTAAGCGATTGAAATTGCACATTGTTGTGTATTGCTGACGTCTTGCCGCTCTCAGCCAAAATTCTTGACCGTTCGTCGGACGTGATGGCCCGACCTTCCACCTCACGCCACCCGATATGGCCTCAGCTTTTTTCCACTCTGGACAATCACTGACCTTTATCGGGCTAATACAATTCTCTGAAATGTCTTCCGGTCATCTGTGTCCTCCGAGGAAATTAAAGCAGTAGCACTGTCTGATTTAAATTGAAGTACAAAAAAGTGCACTTTTTATTGGTGGTTATTTTCTGGCTCTTGAACTATGTCCTCGCTTCTGTGAAAACATTTTCTAGAAAACGGTATGTTTTGACTGCCAAATCAATCATTTATTTCCGGCCGAAATTCCCATCAACAATGTTTTCGGGAATGAGCTTATTCAAACAAATATTTTCGAAGCTATGCAACTTTTTGGGGAAGTTGCTTTGTCATTTTTACAGAATTTAGGCCTATACGTGTTGAATTCTTGAACTATCTTTATTGGTAGTTATTTTCTGGCTCTTGAACTATGTCAGGCGCGGTTCTAGAACCAATATTTTTGGGGGGCTAGCACGGTGGATCCAGAATTTTTTCAGGGAGGCGTGCTGAAATGTTGACCGGTTATTTTTTCCAGACACATAGGCCTCCGAAAATCAATAGGTGGAGGGGAGGGGGGGGGGGGGGGCTCATGCCATATTTTCAATGGGGAGCGCCAATAAAATCCTAAAATCATTCACACTATATTAACTAAAGCACCCTTGTCACGGCTATTTCTTCTTTAGGGGGAGACCGTTCGCATGTACATCACAATCCTTCCTTTTGCTAATGCAATTTTTTTTTACGGAATTTTTTTTTTTTTTTGGGGGGGGCTAGACAAAATTTTTTTTTTTTGGGGGGGGGCTACAGCCCCCCCTAGGCCCCCCCCCCGTAGAACCGCGCCTGAGCTATGTCCTCGCTTCTGTGAAAATTTTTTCTAGAAAACGGTATGTTTTGACTGACAAATCAATCACTTATTTCCGGCCGAAATTCCTCCAAACAATGTTTTCGGGAATGAGCTTATTCAAACAAAATAATGTTTTCGAAGTATGCAACTTTTGGGGGAAGTTGCTTTGTCATTTTTACAGAATTTAGGCCTATTCATGTTGAATTCTTGAATATACCTCAAAACTTCAAATGTCAGGAATTTCTTCCTCAGAATTCATCAGAACAATCACACTTAGCTGTTATTTTACAAGTAGGTCAGTGGTACGGTGGCAATTCACTCGGAAGTCTTTGACACAAGGACGCCACCAACGGTTGAATGCCAGAATCCGCAAGTGGTAACATATGCTGCACAAATCCGATAAAAACTTGAGTTGTCCTTATCACTTGCAAGACCGGTGGTCAAGTGACGCTCGACTTTCACCAGGGAAAGCGAATTTATATTATGTTCTAAACAGTATAGGCATATAATATCAGTTGAAATACCTGGAAGTGTGCATACAACAAAACAATTAGCCTGGCCTCTCCCCCTATGGTATGAAGGCACCAGTGACATGGTCTGTATGAGAACAAGTCATAGATATTGATTGATGCATGTTGTCGATCAAAATAGAAGGGATGGACAGGCAATACATGAGGAGGTGAAGGGGGGGGGGGGAGGTTACAGGAAAGGTAATAGGAATTTTATAAAAAAAAATTGGTGAAAATGTCTGTGCAAATGCAAACAATTTGTTTCTCTCACGTGCACTGTATAGGAAGCATACACACAGTAGCCTGTACAAGTTCCCGCTAGGGGAGGGCGGGGCGGGGTGGGCGACAAAAAAGTGAGGGGCTATTATTCCCCTCTGCAATTGGGACACAGGGGCAGGGAAAAGCCCCCCCCCCCCCTCCCTGGCTGGACACGCCACAGCAATGCTGACAAGGTTAAGGCGCTCACAATTATCATAAAGAAAAGTTCCTAAAATCCGAGAGACTTTAGGCCTACACTGACACGCTTTCACTTCTATCAAGGAGGCCCTCTGTAATGGCGAGAGCATTGTGCTAGCTATTGCTGTCATGTAGCAGTTGTGCACAGCACAATGCCTTCGCCATTAAAGGGGGCCTCCGTGAATATACAGTGATCACGTGCCCGGATTCGTCTAGACTGCAAGACCAAGCCTATTAAAGGTGCTTCTGGAAACTTGGACGGAGCCTAGCCAGAAGTCAGAGCGGGCAGCGCAACATTTGGCCAGCAGCCATAAATATTTCTGCCAGAGATTTCAAAAAGCAATTTAGGTGGAGTCCTGCTAACCGGGGGAGCAGGGCGTAGCACGATCATTTTTATTGGGGGGGGGGGTACATTTTTTTGAAAAGGGCACTTGCACATCAGTTGTGAAATGTAGACAGGTTTTTTTCTCCGGACACTTAAAATCAAAAAATCAAAAAGCGGGGGTGGTGGTGGTGGTGGTGGTGGTGGTGGGGTGGGGGGGGGGGGGGGGGGGCTGTTACCATCTGTCGATGGGGGCGCTGTTCAAATCCGACAGTTATGCACACAAAGGAATAATATGGTGCTTTTCAGGGAGATACATGTGCGAAATGCTGAAAAAGGCACCACAAAAAAGGGCACCACTTCATTTTGGAAAAAGGGCACTTGTTCAGAAAATAATGGCACTTCGTACAAAAGGGCACTCTTTACAAATTATTGGTGGGGGGGGGGTTAAGCCCGTTGAAAAAAGGGCATTTGAATGGAAAAAGGCAATCTTTACAAAATATTGGGGGGTTAAATACCCCCTTAACCCCCCCCTCCACCCCCGCTGGCTACGCCTATGGGGGAGGAGAGGGGGCGTTTTACGTCAACGTGGCCGGGGGGTGGGCTTAAGGGGCAGAACATCGGGGGGTCGGCTAAAGAAAGGAGGTCCTCATCCCCACGGACGGGCGCGCAGGGTAACCAAGTTTGCGCCCCTTAAAAAATCCACCAAGTTCTTGAAGAATAATGACATTATTACGCATTAATGAAAAACAGAATGAATAAGTTAATATTACTGAAATATGAAAACATCGGCTTTATTACTTTTAGTAATAAATATAAATAATAAATACAATACAGAAAACTGTACTACAAATTATGTAAAAAAGAACACCTGTAGAAAAAAACACGTAGCTATTTACATATTTAAATGAAAAGTGTAAACAAAAATCCACATCATTTTTCTTTTACAGTACATGAATTGATTTGGTATCAATGATGTAATTTTTCATGAATATAGTAGATAACGAGATACAACTTTTTTTTCTGAGAGTCGACGCTTGCTGTATTTATGCGCCTGTAGTTTCCAACTCGCCTAAAATCTCCAAAAAATCAATTAATGAGCCAATAATGAAGGTTGTGAGGGTTCAGCCGTTGTATGACATACGGGACGTTTCTAATTTTTTTTTATCGTCACCACTTTAGGGAGCACAAAGGTCCCGCTTTTTGAAACATTTCGTTCCTTATTCATTGGTCACAGTTAAATGTCACAATCATGTTTCACAACTGATGTGCAAGTACCCTTTTCAAAAAAATTAAATGTCACAATCATGTATACAGTTCCCTTGATCTGTTTTCCTACTGTTTTAAGACTCGCATCATTTGATATGGTAAAGAAAGATTTGGCTAAGGTTTTATAGATGATCACATGTTCATCAATTCTCTCCTCTAGTGATGAAACTTAAATGAAACCAAAGATCTACAGGTTCTTCTCAAGTCCAACAGGGGATTAGCGGATTAAGGAATTATCATGGGATCTCCCTAATCCCTCCGACCTCGATTCTGTCGCCATTTAAAAATGCTGGGCACAGGCAACACTATTACAACACTTATTACAACTCTTGCAATACAGTTCGGTTGTGACGGATCTGGCAGATCCCCCTAGTTTTAAGGGCAGTGCAGGAGTTCCTTGTACAGGTCACGTGGGTATCCCGGCATGCCTGCGAAGGTCTTCTTAGTCTGGTCCCACTTGAAACGGAAGTAGTCGGCTCCTTGTCCGTGGCTGTATATGAGGTATGCGTAGCCTGTGTGATAATGGGGAAAATAGAGCATTAATATGACTCGTTCGACATTCAGTGGGTTGGGGGTTGAAAATGTGCCTAATTATACACGAGTGGTGGGTAACTTTTAATTATGAATGCCAGGCAAACATAAAGTACATTTTAAATAATAAAAAATCATTTGCCTTTTGACTGACTTGTGGATAAAATAGAATGTTAACGTTTTAACTTTACATTAAAATATCGCGATGACATCGTAAAATAAATGACTAGGACTTATATAAGACGGAATATTGCTGCCCTTTTTCCATTGTTTGCGTCATATTGAGCATGCGCGCTTTATTAAAAACGATTGAAAAGGACTGGTGTGTTTGCTGCCACCAACGTCTCAAAATCTGCCATTAGAACGATTCATTATCCCCGGCCCCGCCCACTGCGCATGTGGCGTTCACGCATGTCGGACTTTTGATTGACATAAAAGTATGGCTTTGATGGGTCAAAACATCATGGGGCGGGGCTTGATGGATCGGTCCGTTGACAAAAAATTATGTCTTCGCACTCACCGTCATTGTAGAAAGCTCCAGTCGGGAACCACTGCCCGCCGGGGAATGCCAGATGGGTCTTCATCTCCTCCATATTGCCTTCAAACTCGTCAACGATCAACGCTTTCTTGGCCTTGAAGATGTAAGTCCGGCCCTCGTCGGCCACGTGCAGAGCGGCCGAGACCTTCTTGGGGAGATTTAGCTCCTCGGCCAGGCGGGGGTAGTCCGGCTCGCTCGGCAGGTTTGTTGAGTCCACGTCATACATCTTGAAGAGTGGGGGTGAAGCACGGGCAGACTTGTACACCCAGTAATTACGTCCTGGTTAGGGAAAATAATACTTAAAAATGTCAGTTTTTACTCTGTGTGGAGTTAGCTGGGTTCTTTTTTTTTTTTTTTACGATGCTACACAATCAGGACGTGTGCAGACTGCCTTAAGTCGAAGTAAGAATCCTGCCAACTTGAATTTTCCTTAAGTGTGCTCGTTGAGGGCGCTACTAGACTAATCATGGTCCACATGCTCAGTCACGCAAAAGTCACCTTCAGCAGTAAAGTCAGTTCGTAAAACCGTGTTTTTTCCCCTTTTTCCGAAGAATTGACCCAAGAAATTAACGTTCAACTTGCCTTGCTAATGCTAAAGCAGTGATTAGTTATGAGCTTTCCATTTGAAGTTGGTGTACACGTGCGTTTTGAGTGTGGCACCTTTGAAAAATAGATTTTCAAATTGAATTGATAATTTCTAACATTACATCAGTAATGAGCTTTCCAATGAGACATCGCACGAAAAAATCGGCTCATGACAAGTAATCAATTAATTAATTTCAACTTCATTCTGAATATAGTGTGCACAATTTCTGAACTGGAGCGCGCCATTTAACCACTTTTTAAAACTGTATACATACCTGCAAAAACAAACAAGCAAGTTTTCATTCCAAAAATGCAGTTTTATGCAAGTGTATACTAGAAAGGCATAGACGTGTAACTTTAATCAGACAGTTGAAAAAATGGGACTCGGCATTAAGAGAACTTTGTTCTGATTACCTTTGAAGAAGTATATTTTGCCGTCGAACCATCTCTCGTAACCAGCCGATACACTCCGGGGAAGCTTGGGGAAGTACGTGCGGGATAGCTCACCCTCGGGCTCAGACAGTAAATTGCCGTCGGTATCAAAGCGCCAAAGTTTGTCATCCTGTTAAAAAAAAAATAAGTGAAGAAAATTTTAAAATTTGTTTCTCTGTGCAAGATCAAGAATCTGTTATTACCTCCGCCAAGGAGGTTATGTTTTCATCGGATTTGGTTAGTTGGATTGTTGGTTGGTTTGTCTGTTATACAAGATGACTCAAAACCTTATGGACGGATTTGCATATAATTTATATATTTTGTTGGGGTGGTCCTTGGTACAAGTACAAAATCGATTGGATTTTGGAAGTGATCCGGATCTGGGTCATGATTTCTTGAAAGGATTCTTCACTATGGCCGGGAATTGTTTAGCCTTGGTGGATCATGGAGGATGGCGCTCTCTGAGTGCTTTCTAGTTCATATTGTCATACTTATTGCAACATTACTGCATCGTTCCAAATTGAGTCTGCAAGTTTAACACTATAACAGATATGCATACTTATATGCATACTTATAGATATCACACATAGTCTACAATATTATTCCTTAACCAACGTGCCTCTGATAATTGAGTTTTGCCGGGAAAGAATCTCCGATTGGAAGTTTCCCTGTGTAAGAATCATTTACCAAATCACAAAAAAATGAAACTACACAACATATAAAATAATCGTACGCCACGAAGAATTTCCACAATAACGACAACCACTTTAAGTACATCGTGGTTAACATTGATTTGCACCGGTCCTGTTTTGTATTGCACACGGGTTTATTGCCCCCATTTCGTTTGGTCGTTATTTCACAACGAAAATATTTCGCAGTAGCCAGCGGGACAATGCTTGTGCAACGAGCCTTGGCCGTTTCACCGGTCACCTTTGATCGAGTCTAAAGTACGCAGAATATATCACACCTCTTTTCCATGACTTCCTTTTACGACTCTATTGTTGAATAACTTTTTGCTGTTGAAATCTTTTGCAGAATTCGTGGGCTCGACGTCGTAAAAACCGGGCCTTTTCGAAATCGCTGCACAATTCACTGCATTAGGTCAAATTTTGAATATAGTTTCAAGATGTGAATAGAAATTACTCTGGTTTTGCCAGAATCGACACTTGGTGACACAAAAGCCAAGGGAAGAAATTCGGAGGGAAAAAAACGATGACTTTTCTTGATTTTTTTTTTTGGGGGGGGTAGGATTGTTGTAAGTATAGTCAAATTTCCATCACTGAAGATCCTTTGAAATTTCGATATTCTGAAATTAAGATAAAACTTGCACCCTGTATTTGCTTCATGTTTTATGCATAAATTGATCCAAGTCTCCACTGAAAATCTTTCTTTAAAAAAAGCGTCTCTCCCATGCTTGCCAAGACCAGACCTCCTTAATGATCCACCACCAATCACTGTTGAGCACGGGTGCATACCTATGTTCCCCAATACCTATGTTCCCCAATACCGACGGTTCCCCGAAATCCTTATCCTAACCCTACCCCTTACCCTAACTCTAAGGATTTCGGAGAACATCGGTATTGGGGAACATAGGTATTGGGGAACATCGGGTAGACCCCATTGAGCACAGTGTAAAACTCAAATTTCTAGTGATCGACTTACGGAAAAAGCGTAGATCTGCCCGCGAATGAGTACGACGGAGCTGAATGAGACGGTGCAGAAGACAGGAGGAGGCGGGGGTGAGGTTGGCGGGACGGTCGGTGGATTAGGATTGGCTCCTGGATGGAAAAAGAAGATTATTTCACGGTCATTCACAACTCATACAGTCCACCTACAGACAAGACCTAAACATGTATACCCCTGGCCACATGACAAAATACAACATAACACAATGGAGGAAGGAACACAAACTGTTGTTGGATGTATTTCTGAAGAATGGACATCACAAGTCTGGTCGCAAATAAATCACAAGTCAGTTCATGAGACTCAGTCACAACTAAACATGAGAGGAACAATAACGCCTTAAGCCTAAGGCCTTGTCATGTTGTGAATGAACCGCATTGGATGGCCTTTGATTTACCGTAGTGAGGACTCGTGGTGGTGGACTTGGACTAAACAAAGACATTTTTAGGATGCATCAAACACAAGCTTATCATCATCATTCACCATTGTGCTATAATCCTCAAAATCATACTTGTTGGATATTTTAATACCATGGTCCTATCTTACCGTATATCGACTGAATGGCATCGGTGTCGTCCTGGGGCAGCACGAATTCGCTGGTGTAGCTCCGCCCCCAGGGCCACATCAAGGAATTGGGCACATTGGAGTGGTCCAAGCCGAGGGTGTGGCCAATCTCATGGGCCGCGGTGTAGAAGAAACTCACGCCTGAATACAGGTGACAAGCAAAAAAAATGTTCCTTTTTTGAACAATTGGACCGGGCAAGTTCTGGGGAAATTCAAGCCAACTGTCTTCCACTCTCAGAATTTGAGGTGTTTTACAAATTTCGGCCATGTTCCGGATTTGGCTCAGTCAAAAGGTCCCCCCTTAACGGGCACTGTAAATGAAATTGTGCAAAGATGCAGCCGAAGCCGTGCCGAAGCATTGGTTTGAAAACATTTTATGATACTCAAATGTCAGAATTTTACCTGTTGGCATATTGTGCGTATACATCTCGTCCTCGTCGAAGTGGGCGTCGCCGTCGGTGGCGCCCCAGTTGCTGTTGGGCGAGAACGCATGCGCGAGCGTGCCCCCTGGTCCATCGAACGGGGGGTCGCCCTCAACGTCGGTGTGGGAGCGCTTGCCGAAGATCAGCCGGATGTCTGCCTCGTTCTCATCGTCCACCGACCGGAAAGTCAGCGGGGTGGCGTCACTCCACAGCTTGAAGGCCCGCCTGACGTCGGCGTCCACCTCGTCTGCGGTGATCGTAGAGGGCGGGCCAGGATAGTTCACAACCCTGATTAGGAAAGTTGAAATTAATTAAAACTCAAAATTGGTTGATGGTGAATTAAACGAAGAAGGGATAATTTAAGGTTTGATACTCTTCGAAAACGGCAAATTAACCATACAGAAACCAGGTTTACATTGTATCACTACACTCGATCAAACCCTAGCTCTACTGAGTGGAATGCTGGAACTTTCGGATACCCTCCGTACTAGCTAGTACGGAGGGTACCGAAGTTCCAGCGCTCCACTCAGTAGAGCTCATCAAACCAAGTTTAACCAATTAATATAATTTGAGTCTATGGAATCCCTGAACACTGATCTTTCTGACAATCTTAAGGTTATGTTAAGTTGTTATACTGCAATTTCTTAAAGAGAGGTTTAGCGCCTTTTGATTTGATGCAGATGTGAATTTGTGCCCTTTAACAAAATCCGGTAAGCATGCACCCATACTTTGTCCATGCATTCCAACTTTAAAGCTGTATGTTAAATTCCTTCTCATTTCGACACCTGTGCCCACAAATATACCTTTTCCAAACTAATGCCCATATAAGGAAATCCAAGTCTATTGAGGAACTCAACTTTTCCTCATACGGGCTCACAAAAATAGTTTTACATTAATCTGTCCATGCACGAAATAGTCATCGCATCGAAATCACACGGCAGATAGTTCCCCCAAACCGCACCTTTAATTCCCCGGGGGAAGTTGCCACAAGGTAAATATTTGGCTTTAGTCAAATTAGTTTTGATGATAATTCCCTGTCGCGCTGTCGAGAGCAGGAAACTGCTCAATGATGAACAAAAAAACTTACGCAATGTTTATCTTACAACAACCCAATCAAAAGAAGGAAATGTGTGGTTTCCTAGGCTTGGGTAAGATGCTGTTTCAACAAGAGTTCGTGACGTGGATAGTGAAACAATTTACCTAGCCTGACGCGCAGGTGAAATTCCCCTTCGATACAGGTGAGAAGTATGACATCATCTTAACTTTTTAAAACTGAATTGTGCAAAGACCCTCAAAAACTGAAAAGGTCATTTTACTTTTGACCAGTGGCGTAAATCTGCGTCAATAATGGTAAATGATGCTGCAATATCGTGGAACTTGCCAGATCATGAAAATTGGGTGGGGAGGGCACATTTTGAACGAGGTGACGCTGTTCATTTTTCAATGAATACTAAGTCTTGTACTCTTGTAGCCTACACAATGTTCTATTTATGAGCGCTAAACGTCAATTAATTACATAAGACTTAAGGGTTTGCCTGGTGGACATGGTCAATGAATGGGAGGTTCGCGGTAACACCGTGTGAATGATATCTCTTAGTGAGTTGTATGGTCGACGTTTCGAACAGTATGCTCTTTTCGTCATCAGGCGACTGTCTCCTGATGGCGAGCAGAGCATACTGATGACGAGCAGAGCATTTTACTTAATCTGTCCATACATGAAAAAGTCATCGCAGAAATGCATGAAATGGTCACCGATGACGAGCAGGGCATACTGTTTGAAACGTTGAGTTAAGCACTGGTTCTGAGAAATGTCTTTCATTCACATGGCGTTACCGTTGCGGTTCTCAATGTCAATTGTATTATGAACGGTTTGGATGTTCCACTTGCATGACTTGTATTTAGTCTGATGTTTTTGTGTGTGTATAACCACAAACAAAATTGTGTTCAGCATTAAAATGTAAGGATGATTAAACTGGCCATTCATTCGGAATCTTGCATTACCGTTTGAGGGATAATACATTAGAAACATTGTTTTTTTCACAATCTCAATCCAACCAAAGGAAAATAACAATGCAATAAATTTAAAAATGAATCATCTGAACCGTCAAAGTAAAAACCTACATGTATGTGAGGTCATTCTTGTCCCACTGGTAGGGCGGACCCGCCACCACGTAGCGGCGCCTCCGTTCCCCGCTCTCCGACGCGTTGACTCCCACGGTGTCATTACTGATGACCGGGTCCTTTACACCGCACCTCGGTCTTTCGATCAACTCGAGCGTGTCCGCGTCGATCTCGCCCGTCTCGGACAGACCGGCGAATTTCTGCAGGTTCTTGATCGCTTTGACGGCCTTGTCTGGTGGGATCATGCCGCTGGCGTCATCCTTCGTTGGCCGCTTGCTCAAATAACCGTACTTCTTTAGATATTCCTTTAAATAAGAATGATCCAGGGAATTCATTCAGACGTTATTTTTTAATAAAACAAACTTGATTGGTCAAATTATTGTTTCTGAAACATGAAAACCTTTCTAGCTATATGAGACAAAAATATGACACAACTTCAGCATAATAATGTCTATTTTTGCGGTTGGTGGTTCAAAAATGTATTTATTATTCCTCCACAGATCTAACAAATTAATTAAGGAACTGCTGCTTAATTGAAGACATTACAAGAAAAACACAAACCTAACATGCAGATGTTGTTTCAATCATATCTTTGTTTCAAAAAATGAATACAGTATACTTACATATCCCTTCACTTTGTTCAATTCTTGACTGTCGGGCGCTTTCGCTGGAACTTCGTCTTTGGTTATACTCCCATTCGCGGCCACCGTACACGCCACAAACACGACTACCCATCTTAGACATGACGACTTCAAATTTGACATCTTGGATGATTTTCTTTCTCACGAGCAAGCTTTTAAATCCCCCAGGTGTGTGAGTTGCACGTTGTTTCCTCTGAAAGAGTACTTCTCTTCCGCTGTCACTGCAAAATAATTGTGACCACACGTCCCACTCCTGATCCTTTATAGGCATGCCAAAGTTTCTTTTCCAAAGTGGGCGGGACTTCACGTTGTATTACTGGCTATTTTAATAACCATGGCGAGAACAAACACTTATTATCTACGCTGTGATGTGATAACGTGAATAGAGTACCCGTAACGGTGAATGACGCTGACGTCACCTCCTGAGCGCACCAATCGTAGGACTTCCGGGTAAGCCTCAACCTGTCATCTATGCGGTCGACGACTGTTGCATGTTTGGTTTTAAATGACGTTTGCGGAAAAGATCTTTTTTAATGATCAGGTGATTCCATGTCATTCTTATTTAGATGCAAAGAAAAATTCTCGTATTTGGGCATGTTTGTTTTACTGCCAGAACAGATGGTTTGTAAAATAAAGTATAATTGATGTGACTTTTTTGCTGTTATTAACGAACGAATGTGAAATAAGTTTATGATAAATTGTTTCCTTGAATGGAGCGGACAGTGAAACTGTGAATTACAGTTGGAGAGGGAAACATGACGATGACGACACCGACACTGTTACGTAACGCACGCAGAAATGACAACTAGGCCAAAGAAAGAGATAATGGAATTGATTCAAACCTACATTGTCACGGGGGAAATGACAAAATAACTCCAAATATCATCAATCTTCAAAATAACTTTTTAGTATATAATTTGCTCAGTCAACCTTATGTTGATTAAAAGACAAGGAAGTACAACATAGTTATAGGAATGCTTTTAAAGAGGACATGGGCTTAAAGCGAGTGTGCCGTGTGATAAAAATACACGGAAACATGGGGGAAAAATCAAGATTGTTATGTAGGCAAGCGTTGCTTTAAAGCTGGTCCCAATTTAGTCTCAAGGGCCTAGATACTCACGGTGAGACTTACGCAAGTCTAATTCCTAATGATCCTCACGGTGAGACTTACGGCAAGTCTAATTCCTAATGATCCTCACGGTTAGACTTACGCAAGTCTAATTCCTAAGTGACAGTCAGTCAGTAAGTCAGCCAGTGAGATAGTAACAAAGAGAAATGTAGGCTGGCTCTCTGGGACCAGCAGAAAGACAGATTCATAGACGAAGATGTAAAAAAAACCCCAAAACCACAGAAATATCAGTCTCAAGCCCGGTTCATACTCTGCACGTAAGCGAAAGCGAACGCGAATTTGTGACGTCGTGGCAAGTATTTGCACTGCGAATTCGTAAAAGTTGAACATATTTCAACTCGGGCGAATTTCGCAGCGAATGTTTTATGACGTCAAATTCGCTTCGCATTCGCTTTCGCATGAAGTATGAACCGGGCTTTAACCGAAACATCTGTTTTCATATTTTGTGGTCTTCAACTGCGACATGGAGATCGTCCCGCTGACCGGATAGTGGGGCTCATACTGCAATCACACAACGTACGATCCAAGGCCCTATGGACTTACCTGAGTGACGGCGGATTGATGGGGAAGGTTTATTAAATGCTAAAATTATGATCGATGGAGAACCTGCTTTTCATCGCAAAGACTTTGAATTTGAAAGGTCTGCTCTGTGGCGACTGTAGTCGCACTCGATGATCCACTAGGTCTCTCTCTACAAATCCATGTCTTTCACCTAATAATCTCACATTGTCATTGCATTCTTACAATATGAATTGTATTGGAAGCTCCCTTAACACCCACGACATTGTTGTCTATGTGACCCGACCTTTCTATATATTTATATTAAAATTGAATTATTAGCGTGACCTTAGTTTCGTGATGCAGCAAAAGAGTTAACTGGCACATGGTAGAACACATCACTACATCCTCTATCCACATAATCTATCGTACAACAGCCTGAGCCATGTGACCTCACTGTGGTTCATTTAAATTTGACCCTTTAAAAAAAAAACCTGACTGGGGATTTTGCCTCATTGTTCCTATAAACCTTTTTGTAAAAATTAAAGTCAAACTATAATTACAACCACAACCCTACAGGGAATCAGTTTTTAAATAATGAAGCTCATAATTTGGGGTCACTCGTATACACATATCGTAACAGTGAGAGTCCCTACGAAATGAGGAAGAATACCATCCACTGAATAATCTTAAGATGGTGGTTTTCGAAGTTGACAGATGATTGAGCTCTGCTACACCTAAACAACGTTGTCTAGACTCCATTGGGAAATGACTCAATTAATCATTGGCCGAGCCTATATCCCATTTTTTTTTAGGGTGCGTGGTTTTACCCCCAAAAGTGCACGCGTGAGTCATGACAGACTAGCCGATCCCTCCAAAACCCAACCCTCCAAAAGAATCCATCTTTCAATCTGAATACAATACTTCTACTGTGAAGACTGTACTTGGACATTTTGGGTTGACCACAACAATTAACAAGTGGTTTGTTCTCTCATTGTCTTGTCAATCCGTTTGGTTTATCGGGGATTTGTTCCTCAAAAGAAGAAAGATACAATGACTCAAAGGAAAATGAAGCACACAATGACAAGTACACAAAGATAAGTGCCGGGTACAGAAGTGCCTGAACAATTCTCACAAGTACGCAAGATGATGCCAATGATGAGTTATTTTAACGGCACGACGATGTTTACATAGCTGTAGAAATCTCCGATATGTTTGTTATAGTAGCAAGATGCAGAAACCATCAATTAGAAACCTAGATTTCCATTTATGTGATATCGTATAACCAGGCGTATAACCAGCCACGCAGCCAAGGGGTTGGGGAGGGGGGGGGGGGGGCGTAGGGAACGCCCTCCATAAAAAAAATCGTCTCCACCCCGTTGGAAATTTGTTAGTCCTAAAACTCGTAAAGTGACCATAATAAAGGCTTTAACAGAAATCCGCTTGCGCCACAACCCGACCCCTCCATGGGTGAAACTGACCAAGAGTGATTGGACGTCTGGTAGTGAGTCTAGTCAGTCTACTCAACAAAAAAACCTTGTCAGGAATGAAAAGGGCTATCTCAGGTTAACGGTGGACACAAAACACAACTGAGAAAAAGTCACTTTTTTTGGCCTGGAATATCATAGTAACCTTTCCCACGTTTCCAGCCAAATTAATATGCCGGAAGAGGCGTACCACATCGGAATTAGAAAAAAAAAACATGTTGGAACACATTTTACCCCTGAATCGCCCCTGTTAATCAGAAATACGAAACTGACTCGGAATACCTAAAATATGACATAATGTCGGTGAAGCGTTCCTAAAAGAATTTCTCACTGTTGTATTGTCAACATCAAGGACAATAGCATTTCTAATTTGTCGAGTTATGTCAATGCTTGTATTGTTTACATTCTTTGTTTAGATTCAATAGCTTCGAAACAAAAAGTAAAAGACCCAATTATTGTGGTCTGTGATGCGGTGGGTTAGCAATGAGAAATACTTGAAAGGCAAATTACTGGAATAACGTGAGAAAAAACCCTCGAATAAGATCATAAATGCAGAAGAATGACCTAGCTATATTAGCATCAGTCTGTGAATCTTGTAGAATTTTTATAGATGAGTCGGAAACGAGCTTACAAAAAGTGAATCAAATACTTCTTGACTGTCGAGATGATTTTTTTTCTGGGGGCATATACCTATGTTCCCCAATACCTATGTTCCCAAATCCTAACACTAACCCTAACCCTAAGGATTTTGGGGAACATATATCGGAGAACATACATGTATTGGGGAAAGAATTTCGACGACGCAACGCATCTAACAGCCACCGGCGATCCGGCCGAGCTGCCTGTTGCACGCACGGTTGAACCTGACTCGTCGCCCCGTCATCCATTCCAATTCCATCAGTCGAGTGACCGTTCCACGAACTCACTACTTTGTGTTCTCATATTACATGGCTAATGGAATCGAACATAAGCCCGACTTTATTCGTCATCTTGAATTGTAGAGGCTCTGTGGTACACCAACCAACCAAGAACCTTCCAATCGTTCAACGCAAACATTTATTATGCAAAACGCATGTAATGCAACACATGTAAGCCATATTTGTATTGTTGGTTACACTCTTGTCATCAATGCAAACACTGTGTTCCGTTATGAACGGAACCTTTTGTGACATTTGACTCGCGCGGTTTTGGGTTTTATGAGGCCTTGCACGTAGCCACTGTTCTTATTCTTTGGCCAGTGTAAATAAGTCCCCACGGCTGCATGTTAAACATCATAAAATACCGACACCGATATCCCGAGCTATTTCACAATTAGTCGCGATTTTCACGAATCACCTTGGGTGCATTTTTGGAAGATTGTTCACAATCAGTGACACGGCATTTTGGACGAATTTCGTCCACTTCGGATAACATCTTTTCCCCAAATTGATCCATTATTCAACCCACCAACATCCTGCTGATTTTAAAGTTGCACTTTCCGTACTATTTCCGAGTTTAACCCAATATAATAGATATATTTTTTTAGTAATAAGACAGTTTTCACTAATATGGAAGAGAAATTGAACGAAAAACCCGCCCTTCTGGAATTATTACTTGACCGGTATTTTAACATTTTTTTTGCGGCCCGGCAATAATTCAGGCGGCGATGCTCTTATGATTAGAAACAAAAAGGCAACACAGAATAATAGCCCATTTGTCTGAAGGTTGTATTAACACCCAAAATAGAATACACTTACAGCTGGTTCGTCAAAATAAAGCAAAGAAATTGAACATTCAGTTTTAATTTAAAAAAAAATTGGAACGGGGTGCAACATATCGATTCCCAGTATAAAGTTATAATTTTGAAAACTTGCCACAGAATTCCAAAGTTGTAAAGAAACAGTATTCCAAATATAGATTACTCCTAGGCCTATAGGCCTATCCTGGATGAAATGAAATCATAGCACTCTACAATTGTACAAACTAAGATAAGCGGGGCCATTCCATGAATTTGGTGTTCAAAATGTGAAATTCTTTGTGTCCTCATTACAATTCACCTCAGTGCAATTTGTCATGGAAGTATTGAAAATAACTTCAAACTATTTGCTTTATTTGTTTGGCAATTGCTTTGCTTTATATAATCACTATTGGAAATAAA